TGGGCTACTGGCCCGCGTGCTATCAAATAGGGAGGGCTTAGTAGGAGATGTGAAGGTGGGGGGTAGCCTCGGCTGCAGTGACCATGAGTTGGTGGAGTTCAGGATTCAACGAGGAGGAGGCAGGGCTGTAAGTAGCCTTGCGACGATGGACTTCAGGAGGGCCAACTTTAGCCTCTTCAGAGACCTCCTCGGTAGAATCCCATGGGCTAGTGCTCTAGAAGGAAGGGGGCTGTATTCTATTCTTTCTGTGATCTAATTTTGTGCTGTTAGTATTGCTGCAAGTTTTACACACTCACCTTCTGCAACGTCGCATACGTTGGCGTACACATCAAGTATCTTTTTCCTTCGACTCTGAATCTGCATGAAAAGAGTTTTATTTCTTTATTTCTTTCTTTATTTTTTTCCAGTCATGAAAATGACTGTAAATAATTAGCAGCCATCAGTATAAAACCTCTGGGAGATCCTCAACCAGGGCTCTGAATACAAGCGTTTATTATATAAAGTCCTCACAGGCCCCCTTTTGAAAATGTATAGAGGCACATGTAGAAATTCAGTGAAGAATAAACATTTTTCACTGTTAGAGATATTTCTTTTCACGTTCTAATCTCCTTTTAGATCAGTCACTTTTCTGCTTTAAGTGTTTTTGCATTTAATTTCTCTTTGAGACTGAAGCAAACTGCTGACAAAAAGGATAAATACAGTACCACATAGTACAGGCAATTAATGCAGGGATATCCAGGTAAATGAGGATGGGATTAACCACAGGGGATTAATTTCAGACTGGAATTCCTTTCTCCCAGTAATGGAGAAGGACTGTAGAGGAGGGGATCTTGCTTTCTGACATTTGACACAGAACTGCTTAGGCAATTACTAATTTTACATACATGCCTGGTTGAATCTGAAACACTTTACAGATAGATAAAAAATATCAGTGAAGCTTTAGAGAGGGAAAATCTGAGGTCCAAGGTGCTGTAGTCATTTTTGACAAGGAAGAGATGCAGACTGAACACCTGACATTTTCCAGGCAAAAACAGACATTTTGATGTAATTTCATTTAGCAGAAGTGCTCCCAAGGTTTAGCCTTGGATTCAATGTGTAGTGAAAAAAAAATGTCAAAGTGTCAGGTGTTCTGAGGGACTGGAACTGTCAACACTCTGCCAGGTCTCATTAGGACTGAGCTATTTGAAAAGCTGATTTCTTGATAGGACTCTAGTATTATCTTCACAAATTCACCACTTTTCACAGAAAAGCAGCTTGGAAAAAGCTCCATTTGGACTGTTTTGTTTGTGAAAAACATAGAAAACAACTCCTTGTTTTCAATGGGCTCCATGGGCCAAGGCACATCAGTTACATGGATTAATAAACATTTATTCAGAGCCTACAAAATGGCAGCTCTACCCAGAGGCGCAGAGGCTGTCCAAATATGTTGCATCTCAGGGAATGAAGATGCAGGCAATAGAAGTTGTTCACATATTCTCCACAAAATTCATGTGTGTTTGGTCATTTAGGTAGCTATTGCACATTCGGATTTGCTGTTTCAGAGCCCTGGAAGCATAAAAATTTCATTTAATGGTATTTTTTAAAATTCCACTTAAGCAAACTGTTAGATGCCCATTTTTACTCTGCCCTCCTTTTTCGGGCAGAGAAGGAGACTTAATAATTCATAAAAAAGAAAAATAATGAAAAAATATGCAAGATGCTGTTTTTACCAGAGCCTGAAGAATTTGTAATGCTTATGCTGAAAGCAAACAGGTAAATCTGAATCTGGTTTGAGATCCTCTCTGTGGTGGCTCATTGCCACCAATGTATTGTGTCCAGTTCTGGGCTCCACAGTACAAGAGGGATGTGGAGCTGCTCAAAGAGTCCAGCACAGGGCTACAGGGATGATCAGGGGCCTGGAACATCTGCCCTGTGAGGAGAGGCTGAGGGAGCTGGGCCTGTTCAGCCTAGGGAAGAGAAGGCTGAGAGGGGATCTAATCAGTGTCTATAAGTACCTCAAGGGAGGGAGTGCAGAGGACGGTGCTGGTCTCTTTTCAGTGGTGGCCACTGGTAGGACTAGAGGAAATGGCCGGAAACCGAAACATCAAAAATTCCCTAGGAACTTAAGGAAAAATTTCTTAACAGTGAGGGTGACAGAGCACTGGAACAGGCTGCCCAGAGAGGTTGTGGAGTCTCCTTCTCTGGAGATCTTCAAAACCCGCTTGGATGCAGTCCTATTCCACATGCTCTAGGTGTCCCTGTGTATGCAGGGGGGTTGGACTAGATGATCTCTAGAGGTCCCTTCCAACCCTAAGCATTCTATGATTCTACGATTCTATGTGCCAGTTCAACCACTGTTCAAGTTACTGCGTGCACACATCCATTTCCAGCCCGTGGGTGTAAGACATCTGAGGAACAGAGAAGGAGAAAGGGTGCCAAGGTCCTTCTGGGAAAGCGGGGTGGGAGGCAGATGCCATGGAACTGAGGATCATTCAGGAGAGACATTGAAAAAGGGTCAGGATTGGACACTTGGGATATTTTGGTTAGGGACTTCCATTTAGTCTCAACTCCCGCTAAATCAGTGCCGGGCAATCTGAAAAGAGACCTTGAAAATTCAGCTTGCGGCTTGATTTCTGCAGGTAGAGGATGAGTCTCAGAGGAAGGTGCTCTTCGGAACTGAGAGGGGGGAACATCACATACGCGCAAAGTAAACACAGGAAAATAGAATCTATAACTATAGCCTTTTGGGATACCCCTGACCAAAGCAAAGAGGTCATTCTACTTTGGGAAAAGCTTGTGTCCCATTAATTTCACACAGGGATTGGAAAATCCTTATGACACTGTGCACTGCTGCTCTTTGCTAAACAAACAGGCCACTCTGAGACGGACAGGCTACAGCTGAGGAACCTGCCTTCAGCACAGCTCGTGCATGTTAGGTCTGAGGGACAAAATTCCTGGAGGGAGTGTCTTCCTGTCACTGATCCTGATGGCACTCATATGGCTTTCCTCATGAGGTACCTGGCACCCCCAATCCCACCCAGGGCTGGGCTGATGAGCAGGGTGTGATCCCAGACCAAGGGAGAAACGGAATCTTTTGTGTCCAGTGGGTGATATGGCCTGGCTATGGATAACTTGCCCTTTGCTCAGCCTATGAGATCCATCAGTTGTGTGTCAGGAGCACTGGGAGCATGCAGCAGTACCTCACTAGAGCCAGGGAAAGAACACAGTACCTTCAGAAGTGCTCTCCTCCGGGTTGCACTGGCAGTACCGTCGAGAGAAATGAATCAGCACCCGTTCCCGCTCCTGTGTCTCTCCCATCAGTGGGAATGCTTTCAAGAATGTCCTGCAAATAGAAAACAACACAGATGTCAGGGGACCCATCTGCCAGGCAGTGTCCAAGCTGAGGAGAGAGATGGAAAGGGGATATTTTCCATCTCAGGGTCCTCAGAGCCGCTGGGGAGGCCCTTGTCCTCACTTTAGCCTGTGAGGCCCTGGACCCTGCAGGCTTCAAAGCAAGTGTCTATGGAACCGTCTCTGAGGTGTGTAGGGGACCATGGTGCCAGGAGAGATCAATAAATCTGCCTCACCTCCAACATGATGGCACAAGGATGGGTTATCCATCACAAGGGCAGAAGTTACTCCTGTTTGCTCTGATGCTGGACAAGATGGGATTCCTGGGAAAGCTGCTCTCCATCATGGGGAAGCAGGTAGCGGGCCCAGCTGTCAAAGCCAACTTTTGTGGCAGTGCATTGTGTCAAACGTGACATCAAAACAAAGGTTTAACCACAACATGAAGCTCCTCCCTCCCCACCCGCGTTCTCAGGACACAAGCAGCCTCCGTGGAGCTGGGGCACGCGCAGAGGAGAAACCCGCCACGTTGCTCAGCTCTGTTCACCCAGGCCGTACACAGGAACGCCAGAGAGCAGCTCACCTGCGTCCTTTGTCAAGGGTCAGGCCAGTGAAGTCAAAGAAGCTGAGATACTCCTCTGCTACCAACTTGCTAAATTCGTTACTGTAATTAAAGAGGGAGTAGTCAGCCCTTTCATCAGAGAAGAAGACACCGTCTACAAGAGCAGACTCCTGTCTCCTGGCCAGCCCAAACTCCCAACAGGACTGCACAGACATGATCCCAGACCCAAGGGGAATTTATCCCAGCCTGAAATGCTACTGGGAGGCTTCCAAAGGGTCTTAATGTGCCCCTGGCCTTGCACTGTTTGGCTGCCATCCTTAGACACTGCAGACTGGGAGATGTCTGGCCTCAGTGCAGCCCTCTGCCACCTGCACTGCTGGCTGGACAGGGCCTCGTCCTCCCAAGTCAGCCAGGGCCACGCAGCTTGAGCAGGAGGTCCTAAGAATGCCCTTCACTCCTCAGGCATCTTCTCTTTTACCTGGTCCACTCCCTCCCACTGCTGGACATGTTCCCTTCTCCTACTGCATATTCCTGCCCTCCAGCTCCACACCAGCTCCCATCCTACCCTCTCACCGTGACATGTTCTCAGGTCCAGGGCCTGCTCTCAGGCCCACCGTCACACACCATTGCTCACATCTCCATGTGGGGGGGAAGACAACTAGACAGACGCCACTGGGGAATTGGGGGAGTTTGGGGTGCAGGAGAGCTCAGCTTAGCCTCATGGTGATTTCTGAGGGTTTCTCAAGGAAATGTGCCCCTGCTGTGGTCTTCAAGCAGGTCTGGAAACTGACTGTCTTTAAAGCTAGAATGGGTGTTGTCAAGTCCCTTCATCTGCACAACTCACATAGCAGAACTGCACCTAGTTACATCAGTGACTGCCAGAAAAGGCAAGGACATCTCAGAATATGGTTCCGTTGACTCCTCCGGAGTGTCATCTCCCTCACTGGAGCACTACACACATTACTGCACACACTATTTCTGAGAGTGCTGGGACTTCTCTGCTTCGCTCCACAGAGGTGTTTTGGGCAGATCATTCTCAGCATCACTCAAGTTTAGCCTCTTCCATCCAGGGAAGCAGCGTTGCTGCTGGGCCACAAAAATGGGCAGAGCAACAATCCTTGGATGGGTGTGAAAGGAAGGTGGAGTAAACAGAAGCAAAACCCGAAGGCCAGAAGGGAAACAACAAACAATAAATCCTCATCCCTCCTCTGTGTGAGGGAGGGCACTTCTTCAGAGAACGGTCACGAGGCAAGTGTTCTGCCAAGTTACTGATAAGGTGGCTGTAGAAAAGGACGAGGCCACAGCCACATGCTGCAATGCCAGGTTGTAACACTTAGAAGTGCCTCTTCCAGACGCCTGCTCAGCAGATCCTCAGGCCTGGCTTCTGCATCAGGCCAGATGCCAGCAAGGGCTGCAGGTGCATGGGGCAAAAAAGTCTCCATCATCCTGTCTTCTGCCTTCAGGTATGATTTAAAGGCACCACTCTGATCCAAACAAGCACCCAAACAAGCAGTTTCGCATTTGACAGCACTGGCAGTCATGAAGATCTTTAATATTATTCATGTCTGGAGGTGATTTAGGAGTCCAGATAGCACAAGCCAAAATTTTGTGATTACTGTGGAAAATCTTCTATTCTTTGGATTTGGTCCTGTTTCTTCAGTTAATGTGTGATTTTAATAATGCTAAAAAAAAGAAGAATCAATGAATGCTGGCAAGAAATGGGAGATGATCTCAGCATATTCAGCCTTTGCCATATAATTCCTTTTCTTTCTCCCTACAAAATGAAAAGCACATTGCTTTGTTGTACATTTACTTTCACTCCAGGATATATTACAGGCAGAACTCCCTGCTGTTCCAACAGCACATTTTATCTTTTGTTGCAAGGCAGCTGCTCCTGAGATGGATCCTGATCAGTAGCACAACCCACTGCAGGATCAGGAAAGGCAGCTCCTAGTGGGATATGGGATAAGGAATGGGGAGAACCAAGTGTGTGATTCTTCCCACTTAACTTCAGGCTGGGCTGCCAAAGGAAGGATTGGCCTTGCCCAAGGCTCCCTAGAGAAAAAGCACAGAAAAGCAAGTCCAGAGCCTAGCATGGATCCTGGGTGGACTGAAAAGCTCTTGAGATGTCTTCATGGTCTACACTGGAAGCTACGCCCTAACTTACATCCTTAACTGGATCAGACAGGATGAAAGTGAGTGGGGGCTCCACTCGACACCCCTCTCCCCCGAGTGGGCAGGCAGGCCTAGCTGCTGGCCTTGCTGCTCATGGAGTCTTGCTGGGGCGCAGGAGTCCAGCGAGGGGATTGAAGCCAGGGCCCAGCAAAGCTGCCAGGGCACGGGCTGTGCCAGCTGCCCCTGCCAAGCACAGAGAGAGTCCTCATCAGCACCCCGACAGCTGACAGCTGCCAGAGTGGCCCAGGCCGGGCGGCCTATCACTCTTTTCCCTATGTGCCTCACCCCGGTCCATCTCTGGAAACATTCCGGACAGGGATTGCCAGCTCTGTTGAGGAAACAGCTGGGTAGGGCACCTGCAGACCACCATTCCCCTGGAAGAAACAAACTCCTGTGTCTAGTCTGGGGCTCAGCAACACCGAGCACTGGCTGCAGGGCACGTCTGGGCCACAGAGCTCAGCTACCGGCCAGGGCGAGCTCCTGATCTGCGCTGCAGTGCACTCAGCTCACTGCCTCGGTGTCCTTGTCCTAGAGCTCACCTGCGCCAGTCCCAGCTCCTCCTGCAGGGATGCCTGCCATTCCCGCATGGAATGTCAGCTCAAATATGATATGAGACTTCACGATGAGGAAGGTGTTTATAAGGTCACTGTAAGGAGTTTCCCACTGGGACCCATCGAGCATCCTGGCTGGTGGTCCAGCTGCCACAGGCAACCCTACAAACCTACTTCTCCCTCACACTCTGGTTGTTTAGTGTTTCCTCAGCTCCTGTTGGTCTGGGAAGGCTCAGGCCCTGAGAGTGCTGATTAACCTGTCTTGGTCACAAGCCGCTCTGGGCACAGGAGCTTCAACCTTTTCAGCTTTTTCTCCTGGTTGTATCACTGAGTAGCTGGACATGGATGCAGTCTGTGATATTCATGGTATCTGAATCACACCATTCTAGAGAGCCTACACTGTATTTTCCAATATCCTTATTCTGCTGCAATCACCTGCATCAAGTCAGATTTCCCATAAAAACATTGGTTACAGGAAATTCACCTACTCTTCAAAGGAGGAAAGCATGCTGTGTCCCCAGGTCTACTGCCGATGGGACTGATTCCCAGCTCAGGATGCAATGAAATGCTGAAATCACTTTACTTGGATCCCTTTATTGTCACACGTGCTCTGATGTTGCATGAGGGGCTCTGTGAACACGCAGTCCCATGGGAATTGTTGCAGGAGAGCTCCCAGCGCGACCACTGTCAAGGTCTCCTGTCTTGCAGCTGCTCCAGGACTCTGGTAACTTCACAGAACTGCATTATTTCAGCTAGAAATAACCCATTGGAGAGTGCTAACCTCCATTTCCTTGTTCACCAGGTCTCTTCTACTTGTTTGACAATGGTGTATATATTGGGGTTTTTTATTTATTTATTTTTTATAAAATAGCCAACATTCACAGAAACATTCAGAAAAAAGGGGGGTTAAAAAGAGTTAAACATTCCAAAAATCAGAGGTACCTCTCTGCTTTTCTCAGAAATCCTCCAGTCAGTTCACCTCCTGCATAGATCTGGCTTGAAAGTATTAAGCTGATCCTGTTCCCACAGTTGTAATTTGGTCTTATATTGTCTTAGTGGGCACGATCAGATTAAAATGCACCTACTCCCATGCTCATTCCTTTCCGGCTCCATGAATCTCCCCACTCAATCCCAGAGCTTGCAGCGCTCTCCAGGCCAGGGATGATGCAGCTACCAAAGCCAAGTTGATCCAAGCAAAAGCTGTTTTCTTTTAAAGGCTGGGTCAATTCCCAGGTGTCAGTCATGGCACACTATTCCAAGACATTGTTTTGGTGTATGTGTGAGGTGAGGGTGGCAAGAACTGGCAAAGCAGCACGTTTAGAGGCACTTTAGAGACCCCACTGCTTGGAGCTGACTCAGACAGCTAGCAGAACCAGCTCTGCAAGAAAGGGAAGGACAGCCAGGCCTGGAAGAGCAGCAAGCAGAGACGCAGCCGCTTTCACAAATCACATCCAAAGAAAGGAATGGGGATGTTGACAGGTGAAACAAAGACATCACTCAGTGGGCTCCTTCCACCCCAGAGGTAAGCAGAGAGTCAAATCCCAGTCCTCTGCTCTGAGAGCTTTGCTGAGGGACAGCGGTGTCCCGCTGTTCTGTGCAGATGATTGCTGATTCAGGACACATTCAGCACCACAAGACCCACTGGCAACCTAAAATCATTCGCTATTGCCACCTTCACTACTCTTACTCTGTCTTTTAAAAATCTCTGTAACTTTGACTGATTTTAGATGCCTTGAATAAGCACTGCTCTGCCTTATCCTGGCAAGTCTATCAACCAAGGCACTGGGAACATCACTGGGTTCTTGGCTCTCCATCACCGATTTCTGGATTCACACTCTCTATAAAGACTGCCGCTAGGAGATTTCTGGGGACAAACATTAAAAAAAAAGGTGTTTCCAGAGAGCCCCCTGCAAGGACTTTTCAGGGCTTCTGTCCTATCCACTGGAAGGGGGTCCCCCTGACACCACCTTCATGTTCCAAGAGGAGCTCAAACCAAACAGATGCAGGTCTGGATAACAAACTCTACAGTTCAGGGATTGTTTCAGGGGTCTTGGCCTTGGCATTTTCCAAATGCAGGAAACTCTTGGTTCTGGAGGACAGTACCTTGTGGAAGCTAATGTCCAAAAAATACAAACAACTTGTAGCATTCAAATTGTAAGGGCATTGCACTCAGGCCAATTTCAACTAGAAGGATCTCCAATGATCCTGATTTCATTCAGCAAGGCCCTGTAACAGCTTTCCCCTTCCAAATTCAATTCAAAGTTCATTGATAGCTTTGCCCTGTCCTCTTCCCAGCAGCACTGTCAGTGCTCCCTCAGGACCTCCTCTTTTATCAAATCTCTTTCTGCTTGCCACACAGTTAGCTCTGTCAGCTCAGTCAGTCACCTTACCGGGTTCCACATTCTCCTGCTGTAACTCAACATCCCAACTTACTTTTTTCCGAGCTGGCGCGCCACATCGCAACGCTTGAATCCTTCGAGGTTGTAGAGGCGCTTGGCCAGCCTCTTTGCAGCTTCACTATCTGCCCTGCAGCCGTTTGCTAAAGTGTCTGTGCTGCCATGGTCAAGCTGCTCTGTGCTGCCCATGTCCGAGTCCGAATCTGAAAGAGCATCTTTCAAGCTGGCATCACTGCACGGAAGAAAAAAAAATTCAAGAAGCAGCAACGTGACTTTATGAAACCCACAGAAAATACCACATTCTTCCTGTCCTGACAAAAAGTAAAACACACATTTGTGAACTGGACATTGCACAAACCCTCTGTCATTTCAAATCACCAGAAATGTATTTTTAGACACTCAAATACTACAGTTTCATTTCAAACTTGCAGGAAAGGACTAAAGAGAAAATGGCTTCACACCAAGAAATGAGGATGAAGTTTTTAAAAGTAAACAGATCTAAAACCTTTAAACTTCCTATCTCTCCGTGTGTATGGAAAGTTTTCCTGAATGGATACAGGGACTGTCAGAAGTTTTAGCTTTTCAAATCAGTATCTGTGGGAGAAAGATTCCTCAAAAATTCCAAGTAGGCTCACTTGAGCCCCAAAATAAGTCAAAATATTGAGATTAATTTAGGAAGGCTTCAGACTCCAGAGGCAAGATATGAAAAATACACATTGCAGTCCCTAACCTTTCACCCATTCAGGTCCTCCTCTTCAAAATGGTGATAGCTGTAGATTCTTAGGCCAAATGGGTTCCTAATGATTACTGTGTTCATCCTCATTGGTACCCTGTCTTTGTCTCAGACAAGGACACTCTACTAGAAAGCAATCCATTATGTATTTACAGTCCTTAGGTGAGAAAAAGTCCACTGATATGAGGTCCTCATGGTTTATAACCCTCACTGTTCAGAACTTGGATCTTATTTCTAGTTTTAGCTTCTTTCCACCACTCCACCTTGGATCTCATCCTGTGGGTAAGAAAAAGATCTTCTCCACGAACCTACCAAGGACAGAGCAGCCTTGGATCTTTAATGCCTATCTGTTGTACAGTGCACGGGAGGAACCTGCCATGCGATGGGCCAGTGTTTAGACTGTGGTTGATGGCTCTAAGCTCCCTCTGTTTCCTTCTCTCTCACATCATCATCCTTCACTTTGCAGCATTTAGCCTGCAGTCAGGCTCTGAAAGATGGGTAGCTGCACAATGATGGAAACCAGTGTCTTTGGGAGCTGAACGTGCTCAAAAAACCTTAAATCATAGAATCATGGAATCCTTAAGGTTGGAAGGGACCTCTACAGATCATCTAGTCCAACCCCCCTGCACATGCAGGATCACCCAGAGCACGTGGCACAGGACTGTGTCCAAGCGGATTTTGAAGGTCTCCAGAGAAGGAGACTCCACAACCTCTCTGGGCAGCCTGTTCCAGTGCTCTGTCACTCTCACTGTTACGAATTTTTTCCTTAAGTTCCTGTGGAACTTTTGGTGCTTTCAGTTTGTGGTCATTACCTCTAGTTCTGTCAGTGGCCACCACTGAAAAGAGGCCAGCACCATCCTCCTCACTGCCTCCCTTGAGGCACTTATAGACACTGATCAGGTCCCCTCTCAGCCTTCTCTTCTCCAGGCTGAACAGGCCCAGCTCCCTCAGTGTCTCCTCATAGGGCAGATGTTCCAGGCCCCTGATCATCCTTGTGGCCCTGCGCTGGACTCTCTCCAGAAGCTC